GGACTTCACCTTTGTCTGCCCCACGGAGATCTGCCAGTTCTCCGACCGCGTCAAGGAGTTCAACGACATTGGCTGCGAGGTGCTTGCCTGCTCCATGGACAGCGAGTACTCCCACCTGGCCTGGACAAACCTGGAACGCAAGCAGGGTGGGCTCGGCAAGATGAGCATCCCCATTCTTGCCGACAAGACCAAGTCCGTCATGAAGGCGTACGGCGTGCTAAAGGAGGAGGACGGTGTGGCGTACCGCGGCCTCTTCATCATTGACCCGAAGCAGAACCTGCGGCAGATCACCGTCAACGACCTCCCTGTTGGGCGCGACGTGGACGAGGCCCTCCGCCTCGTGAAGGCGTTCCAGTTCGTGGAGCAGCACGGCGAGGTGTGCCCCGCCAACTGGAGGCCTGGCGGCAAGACGATGAAGCCGGACCCCGCCAAGTCCAAGGAGTACTTCAATGCCGCAGCTTAGCATTACGGGCTGTTCTTTGCTTCTTTCAGGGATGCCCTTGGTGTGAAGAAAAGTGACGCCGCCATGAGTTAATCGGAACAGGAGCCTTGTTTTGTTTGTTTTCTGTGTTCTTGTGAGCGCTTTATTGGGCGAATGGTAGCGGAGAGAAAGCAACTGATACCCTTTTTTTTTCTTTTCTTATTTAGGGTATTTATTTTTACGGACAGGCGTGAGAGGTGGATGGAGGACCAAATTTTTAGTCTGTGCGACGCATTTGTCTGCCGGGGGTTAACTTCTTTTTTTGTTTATTGTTGTTTTTTAGTGCGTTTTTTTTTTTGCTTCCGCGAGCGTTGTGACGTTGTGTGCGTGGGCGTGAGACCGTTGCGCCGCACTGCAGCCGTTGCGCGTGTCGGACATCTGATCGCCGTGGGTTTGGCCTGTTTGGGTTTCCTCTCTCTTCTCTGTGGTGTGGAAGCAAACACGCAAAAGGGTGGAGAAATCGAAGCAGGAAGGGGAACGAATAGGGGAGAGTTTTGCGGCGCTGTTGTGTTGAGCTGAATGTGGGGCGGCAGCGAGGACGGCGGCGCCTTTGCCGAGTGCTTCTACGCGCAGTACCCGCTCGGCATGGGACGAAAGCCGCCGCCGGCTGTGGTGACGGGGCGGCTTGTGGCTGAGCGGGCGGCGGCGAGGCCCGTTGCTGCGCCGGACACCGGGGCCCTCGTCGTGGCCGTGGGCGGGGGCGCGGATCCGCGTGCCGAGGCGGAGGAGCTTGCGGAGACAACGGAGAAGACGAAGGAGGCGCTGGAGGGGGTGCTGCGCAGCCGGCAGACGCCGAAGGAGGACTTCAGTGGTCGGAGGATACGGCGGGCGCAGCAGACGGGGCCGCTGCTCGAAATTGTGCTGCCGGGGGAGGTGGGCGCCGCCGGGATGCATGACCCGGCGCCCATTGTGCGCTCCCCGACACGCCCCAGGAAGGACCGAAGCAACTCTGCGGAGGCGGGGTCCTCCTCCTCCACCGCCGCCGGTGTGGCCGTCGTGCCGTTTAGTATCGGGAACTGGAAAAACAAGCGGAAGTTGATTATCCCGCTCGAGCAGCGCCTTGCGCAGCAGGCCGACACGCAGGCGAATGGTGGCGGCGTGAGCGATCAGGTCATGGGTCTCGCCATGGCGATGCAGCAGGCACGAAAGGAAGTGGAGGCGGAGCAGGCCGCACGCGAGAAAGCCCGCCAGGAGGAAGAGGAACGTCGGCAGGCGGAAAGAGAGGCGGAGGCCACGCGGCGCGCCAGAGAATTGCTGGAAAGGGCTGCGTCGGACATGCTGCACACCTCCGCGCAGAGACGGAAGGAGACTCGCGAAGAACGCTTGGATCGAATTCGACTGGAGCGCGAGCTGCGGGAGCGCGAGAAGCAGCAAGAGGTGCGGCAGCGCCGACTAGCGAAGGCGGCCGCCCGGCTTGGAATCACCGTAGAGGCACTGGAGGCGGACGAAGATCTCCTGAAGACGGTGGATGAGGCGGCGGCTGGTGGCCACGGCGCCGGCGTCGCCGATTACGCCTCCTCCCACCCCAGCGACCCGCGCGGGGGCGCGGTGGCGGCGTCATCGCGGCTGGGCGCGGACCACGGAGCCCCCGCGACGGACCAGCACGCGCCTTCGTTGTATGCCGCCGACGACGACGAGACCGGCCCGCGCCCGGCGTCTGGAATACGCAAGGGCGTTTTTGGCTCCGCCGTCATCAGCAACGAGGGCATCCGTCGCGAGATGGAGGCGCTGGCGCAGATTGAGGGGCAGCAGGGGGGCGTAAAGGATGGCCTCCAGCTCGCAAACGGGGAGGAGTCGACGGACGACGAGGATGACGAGGATGGCGGGGGCTTGGGAATGGATCAGCTCATGAGGAAGCGGCGTCGCCTGTGAACGGGGCGCGTACCCATCTTTCTTTTTCTTTCCCTCTGTGTGCATGTGTGTTCCAGGAAGTAAAGAAGTACAAAGAGGAGCGAGGCTTTTTGAGGCACACCGCCGGTGAGGCCGGAGAAAACGCATACGCCACACCTCCGCCTCATCCTCCCCTGCTAAAATGCGCGTATTTTAGTGTAACCGTCTGGGGCCTCGCTCGTGCTCTCTGTTTGTCTGTGCTCTGCGTATGCATTGTGGGGGCTGTACTGGAGGTTGTTTCCTTCGCTTCCTCTCTCGCATGTGCCGTATCCTCCTCCTCCTCCTCCCCGCCTCTCTTTGTCTTTTACTTTATTCAGTCCGGCGACAGCGGCGGTGGGGGAAGCGACACGGCGTGAAGGAGGAGTGGGCACTGAGTTACGACACTCTCTCCCTCTCTCTCTCACACACACACAGACTCATAGCCACGGGCATAGAAGAGAAACATATCTTTGTTTCTTGCCATAGTCGTTTTTTCCACAGACATTCCCTTTCTTTCTTTTCTTCTGTATATCTCCTTTTCGTTTTTCGCTGTGCAAGGGAGGCGCTGCAGGCTGCATGCTGAACCCATGCCTCCTCCGGCGGGCCGCGGCGACCACCGCCAGCTCGAGCTCCATGCTGACGGAGAAGGGGCGGCCGTTCGCGGCGGTGGCGCGGGAGGTGAAGATGATGCAGCAGCACATTGCCGGGCTCGTCAGCAACAGGGACAACGCGATCCTTGACCACGCCGCCAAGTACGTCGTTGGGGCGGGTGGGAAGATGCTGCGCCCGACGCTGGTGGCGATGATGGCCCACGCGCTGCTTCCACCCCACGTCAGCGAGCGGATTCGCGAAACTAGCATTGGCTCCCTGGATGATATTTCTCCCGGCACGATTCAGCCATTCCTGCGCCTTGGGGAGGTGACGGAGCTTATCCACACCGCCTCCCTCGTCCATGACGACGTCATCGACAACAGCGACACGCGCCGTGGGCAGCCCGCGCTTCACTGCGTCTATGATGCGAAGCGGGCTGTGCTGGCGGGCGACTTCCTCCTCGCCCGTGCCTCACTGTGGATCGCCACCCTCCGTGTCCCTCGCATCGTGCTGTTCATGTCCACCGCGCTGGAGGATCTCACCGTTGGCGAGATGATGCAGATGGACGGCTGCTTTGATATTGAGAGCTACGAGCAGAAAACCTACTGCAAGACGGCGTCTCTTATAGCTAACTCCCTCGCATCGACGGCGGTACTTGCGGATCCGCAAAACACGGCGTACGAAGCCGCGGCGGCAGAGTTCGGAAAGCGCTTAGGCATCGCCTTTCAAATTGTGGATGACTGCCTCGACATCACAGGGGATGAAAAGAATTTGGGTAAGCCAAAAATGGCCGACATGAAGGAGGGCATCGCGACCCTGCCGGTGCTGCTCGCCGCCCGGATGGAGGCTCGCGTGGACGAGGCAGTGCGGCGTCGCTTTAAGGACCCGGGCGACGCGTCGATGTGTATGGAGGCGGTAGAGCGCCATGGGTGCATCGCCGAGGCCTTGCAGCTTGCGGATGAGCACTGCCGTCGCGGTGTTGAGGCGCTCGGCGCCCTCCACCACTCCGCGGCACGGGATTCGCTTGAGGCCGCGATGGGCCTCGTTCTAACGCGCCAGGTGTGAGCCTGGGGAGAGACGGCGGGGTGGGGGTGGGTGGGTGCGGGAGGTGAGAGGCAACCAAAAGAAAAGAGACGGAGGAAAGGCAAAAAAACAAAAAAAAGGGAGCAGAGGCGGTGGACAAAAAAAAACAAACGAGAACAAAAACAAAAACGCATGATATAATTTAAAGCAACATGCGGAGCCTTCGCCGTGTTTGTTCCCGATGAGCCGCGGGAGAGTACGTTTGGTGGCGCACGGCCACGGCCCTTGCTGCGGGAGGTGGTGGCATCCCCGGCTTTGTGCCCCTCTCCCCGTCTGCTGCGCGCTTCCCGTCTATTTGCCTCTACCTTACTTTGCTTCGTCTCCGCAGGGCAAACTGCAAGCTAGCGATAGGAGAGCGAAAAAAAAAACAAGGAGAGAAAAACTTTTTCTTTTCTTTTGAAAAAAGAAGTAAAAGGGAGCATATAGCTGGAGTTACTTCAAAGGGAATTACAGGGAGAGAGATATATTTGAAGCCAAGCAGGAAGTATGATGCGGCGTCTTGGGTTTCGGGCGTTTCTGGCCAGTGCGGCAGTTCGCGCCCACTCCGACAACGGCTTTCCCTCCGCGGCGGCCGAGATGAACCTCGATACCGTCGTCAAGCTGGTGAAGGGGCGTAGCGCGTTCGAGGAGGCCGCCATACGGAATGCGGTGCAGCTCTTTACCCGCAGCCTCTCCGACAGCTCCTACGGCCGCTGCTACACGGAGGAGGAGGCGGCCAAGCACGTCATGGGTTTTCTCTGCGCCAAGGCAAAGCACTCGATGGGAGACCCATTCGAGCACGCCCACGAAACAGGGGACTCGGCCTTTTACATTTGCCAAAATGACCACACAAGCCAACTCCGTGCAGTTCGGCGCCTCTCACGGTTTGTGAGCCGTGAAAAGGAGCCGAAGCAGTCCATTTCTATGCGTGGCTACACCACCGACGACGGCGCCACCTGCGTCTACACCGCCAAATGGCAGCCCTTTGTGAATCCGGACCCGGCACCGGAAGAGAGGAATATAAAACAGCTTGCAAGCCGCGCCTTCCTTGAGGAGCGTTCGCCAGAGCTGCAGAAGCGCTACGAGGAGCTGCTGGCCCGCTTCGAGGGTTCCGTTGGGCCTGTCTTTACGGTCCTTGAGGGGGAGGAGGACGAGTTGTGCTTCTCCATGGCCATTGCGGCCGACCGCAACTACTACCTGGCATCCCTTATGGCCATCATACAAGAAATTCCAGGCGCGGTCGTGCGTCGCAGCTTTTCAGAGACTTTTTCGAGTGGTGTTCACATCTACACGCTTTACGTCGCGGGTGCCTCTGCGGAGCAGCTGCGGGACCGTGCCTCGATGGTGAATCTGCTGCCGAATCGCCCCCCTAACTCCATCACCCGCCTGCACGAGGATCTGGTGTTCAACGTGGAGCAGAGCGTCTTCACCGACGCCGCCATTGTGTTTGCCTTTTACTTCACGCCAAACCCCACCTCGGACGACTACCGACACCTGCGCACGGTCCTCGCACGGGAGCCGACCGGCATCAACCGCCTCAATTCTCTGCGCAACTCCTTAACGCTGGAGATGATGTCGGAGCGTTACATTGGCACCCTCATCAGCAGGTACCCGGAGTACATGATCGAGATCTACGAAGACTTTCGCCACGGCACCACACCCGAGTCACGCCAGGCGATTGAGAAAAAAATTGTTGAGCGCTTCAGAGAAGACCAGCTCTCATCGCATGACGTTGAAATTTTCAAGTCCTTCTTGCGCTTCAATGAGGTGATTGTGAAGCACAACTTCTTTAAAAAGGAGAAGGTGGCACTTTGCTTCCGCCTTAACCCGTCATTCCTCAGGGAGCTTGAGTATCCACGTGTGCCGCACGGCGTTTTTCTCCTGGCAGGTGCACAATGGCGTGGATTTCATGTGCGGTTTACCGACATCGCCCGTGGTGGGGTGCGTATGATTTTGTCGAAGGAAAGTGCATATCGGCGGAACAAGCGGTCTGTGTTCCAGGAGAACTACAATCTCGCTCACACGCAGCTCTTGAAGAACAAGGACATTCCAGAGGGAGGAAGTAAAGGGACGATTCTTGTCTCAAGCCGTTACCTGACCCGCTTTGACCACGCCCGCTGCCAGCGAGTTTTCCTGCAGTACACCGATGCCCTGCTGGACACCATTTTGCCAGACGAATCCGGCATTGTGGACAACTTGAAGCAGACAGAAATTATCTTTTTGGGCCCGGATGAGAATACAGCAGGGACGTTCCCCTCCGATGGCGCCTTGCATAGCAAGCAGCGTGGGTATTCCGCCTGGAAGTCTTTCACCACGGGGAAGGACCCCTCCATGGGTGGCATTCCCCATGACGTGTACGGCATGACCACCCGCTCCGTGCGCACCTTCGTGCGTGGCATCTACACCAAGCTTGGACTGAAGGAGGAGGAGATGACAAAGTTCCAGACCGGTGGCCCCGACGGGGACCTTGGCTCTAACGAAATCTTGCAAAGCCGGGAGAAGCTGGTGGCCATTTCCGACATCTCCGGCTCGCTGCATGACCCTAACGGAATTGATCATGAGGAATTAAAGCGCCTGGCGCGCGGCCGGCTGCAGCTGCGGCACTTTGACAAGTCCAAACTCACCCCGAAGGGCTTTTTGGTGTTAACGGAGGATAAAAATGTGCTTCTGCCGGATGGAACGCGCGTTGACGACGGCGCCCTGTTCCGCGACGAGTTCCACTTTACAAAGTACACCGAGGCCGACGTGTTTGTTCCGTGCGGTGGCCGTCCCCGCAGCGTCACTCTGGCGAATGTCTCTCGCTTCCTCAAGGTGCCCGATGCCGAGGGGGAGGCGATGCTGGCGGGCCGGTTCCAAGCGCCCGAGGCCCTCAAGTACAAGATTATCGTGGAGGGGGCGAACTTGTTCATCTCCCAGGACGCCCGTCTGGCGCTGGAGCGCTGCGGTGTTGTGCTTTACAAGGACGCCTCGGCGAACAAGGGTGGGGTCACCTCCTCCTCGCTTGAAGTCTACGCCGGACTGGCTCTCTCGGACGAGGAGTACGCCAAATATATGTGCGCCGAAAGCCCCGAGAAGTTACCGGAGTTCTACAAGAACTACGTGAAGGACATCATTGCCCGCGTCGAGAGCCATGCGCTGCGTGAGTTTGACGCCATCTGGCGGGACCACGAGTCACACCCTGGAATGCCAAAGACGATTATTGCGGATACTCTTAGCAGCAAAAATGTAAAGGTGCGTGCCAGTATTCTTGCCAGTGACGTGTTCAAAAATCAAAAGCTTGTGCGCTACATTCTCCTGAATTACACTCCCAAAACACTGCTTGATGTGGTGCCACTGGAGGTGTTGATGCAGCGGGTTCCTGTTGCCTATCAGCATGCCATTTGTGCCATGTGGCTGGCGTCCGAGTACGTGTACTCCACGGGCATGGACAGCAACGAGTTTGACTTCTTTTCCTTCATGAGCGGACACATTGAGCGCGCGTCGGCCCTGGCTAAACAGCAAGCAAGCTGAGGCAAGCAGACAAGGAAGGGCACGGCACCATAACCCGTTATGGCCCTAAGGGACGCTTGAGAGAGGCGTAGGTGGTAGACATATTCATTAGCCGCATTCTGTTTTTTGGTTTTCTGAGATACGGGTTTCTTTATTTGGGCTTGGTTTTCCCTCTTTTTTTTACGCTCTGCAGGGCTTTGCGGCGCCATGAATGAATGCATTGAGGCCAAGACGGCGGGTTAGTTTGCGCTTGTGTCTTCGTTTTTTTTTTCAAGTCGTTTAACGAAAAACTTGTTATGTATGAAGTCGTTTCCTCCCTGGTCTTCGTCGAGTAGTGATCGGTGTGTGTGTGTATGTATGTATGTATGTATGTGTGTCACGCCTGATCTTTTTTCATTGGGGTGGGGGGCGCCCGAAGAGCATTGGAGAAGTACGGAAGGAAGAAAAAGAAAAGGGAATAGCATTGGCGCCAGTAAACCGAGGGAAAGGGGCACACAAAGGCGTGTGATGAAGGGGAGGGGTGCGTTTCTACACGTCGCCCCGTGGTTAAGCAAAGGGGTCAAAGGGGGTGTCACGCTGCATGTAGACGTATTAGGCGGCCAGCAGCGAAAGCAAAGAAAAGGATGGTGCGGACGCGCCAAGGGGAAGAGTGGCTTAGAATAGGAAAGTCCTTGCCTTTTCATTGTGTGTGTGTGTGTGTGTGTGTTTTTGCGTTTCTGCTCCTGGTCGTGACTCCTGTCGTAGTAGTTAGCCATTGTTGCGTGCACCCCTCGAGCCATCTGGGTCTATACGCGCGTGTGTTGTTTCTTTGCCTGTTTGTTTGTTTGTTTTCCGCTCTCTGGGTAGTAGAGGGAGGAAGGGAGGGGATGAATTCCCATAAGGGCGGGAGTGCGCTGGGTCCATTTCTGGGGAGGGAGCCGGGGGCGGGGGTTTATGCATGCGGGGAGCCGCAGGGTTCTATATTGTCCCGTCTCCGTTTCTTTTTTTTGTTTTTTTGTTTTCTGGTTTTCGTATTTGTTTCTTGTGCTGCCCTCTCTCTCATCACCTCCTGCTAGGTCTGTTTTTATACTGCATTTGTGGGGATATGAATGGCGTATGAATCGTTGCAGCACTTGTCAACGGCGACTGTGACCTAAAGGGGCTGCATGCACTTGTAAGTGTGCACGCGTACTAGCGTGAAGTGCGGTGGCCAGCGTCTTTCTATGGGTGTGCGTGTGTGTGTGTGTGTGTGTGGCCATCTTGCGCGGCCCAGTGAAGCGGTCGCTGTGGGGGAGGGGGGTGGGGGCGGTGAAGAGGCGTACGTGCACGTATGCGCCGCAACAGCGCCCCAGCCACGCTGGGGAGAAAGTATGTAAAAGGGAGGAGCTGGGGATGACTTTGTTTTCGCATTGCCCACGTCTTGTTATTCTACTTTGTTTTGTTTTGTTTTTTTGTTGTTGTTCGTCTGCTTGTCTTTTTGTTTAGTTTGCTCCTCGGCCCGGTGATCTCTGAGCGGTGTTTTTGTCTCCGCTGTTGCCCGCAGCGTACGACGCACGCTGCCTCGTACCGTCGCTTTACGCCGGGCGCATCGATGCGCCAATCCCCTTCCCCTCCCACTTTTTTCTTTTCTTTTCGCGTCCGGGGGAGAAGCAGCGGCTTCCGTTTGCGTGCGTGTGTAGGGAGGGTTGTGTACGGCCCATTCTCCTCCCCCTTCCCTTCCTGCTTTTGTCGGCCATTACTGTTTCTTCTCCCTTCTTTTCTATTGTTTCTTTTTTTGTTTGTTTGTTTGTTTGTTTGTTTACCCGCCAAAACAAAAAAAAAAGTGTGCGGCGTCTGCGGGGGGGGCGGGCGGACCCGCAGCCCGCGCGGCCAACGCCGAGGGGAAAAAAAAGAAAAAGAAAAGTACTTTT